CACCTTTAGGCCACCGGCAACCGAGGTAAAGAGGTTGACGGAGGACGAGATGGCACGGAGACGAGAGAAGGGGCTGTGTTTTCGGTGCGAGGAAAAGTACACGCCGGGACATCGGTGCAAACAGAATTTTTTGATCGAGTTTGTGGACTCGGATGACGAGGAGCCGGTGATCGAGGAAGAACGGAAGGTGGAGGTCGAGGTGCTCGAGGATGAGGCCGAGATCTCTGTACACGCCATGGCGGGCACCAAGGGGCCGAGGACGATGCGTTTGCCGGCGTGGGTGAAGGATCAGCGAGTGACTGTGCTCGTGGACAATGGGTCATCGCACAACTTCATTAATGCGACGCTATCTCACAAGCTTAAACTGCCCACGTCCATGGTCGAGCCATTCGAGGTGCGGGTGGCTAATGGTGAGAGATTGCGGTGCTCGAAGGTGTACCGAGGCGTGCCAATCAAATTCCAAGGAGTAACGGTAAAGGCGGACCTGTTTGCCTTACCATTGGTAGGGCCTGATGTGGTACTAGGTGTGCAATGGCTCGAAGGGCTCGGTGACGTAACGACCAACTATCGGAAGGGTGTGATGAAATTCGAGACCGATGATAGGTTGGTTACCTTGAAAGCGAGCAAAGGATCGACCAAGGAGGTTGGTCTAAAAAACATCGAGAAGGTGTGGCGAGGGGGAGGACAGTTGTACGCTGTCGTGGTCGAGCAGACAGGTAAGGATGCGGAGGTGCTCGAGGAGTTCGACCAGGTGGTCGAGGAAAGACAGCGCGAGGTGCGTGACTTGCTCGAGGAGTTCGACCAGGTCCTCGACGAGCCCAAGGGACTGCCGCCACACCGAGAGTTCGACCACCATATACCTTTGGTCGAGGAAGGTCGAGCAGTGCACGTGCATCCGTATCGATACGCACACTTCCAAAAGACGGAGATCGAGCGGCAGGTGGGCGAGATGCTCGAGTCCGGACTCATCCAGCATAGCTCGAGCCCGTTCTCGTCACCAGTGTTGCTCGCAAAGAAGAAGGACGGAACTTGGAGGTTTTGCACGGACTACCGCGCTCTCAATGCGGCTACCGTGAAGGATCGTTTTCCCATTCTAAGTGTCGACGACATGCTGGACGAGTTGGGTGGCACGCGATACTTCTCCAAGCTCGACCTACGCGCGGGCTACCATCAGATCAGGCTGGCCAAGGAGGACGTGCCCAAGACGGCTTTTCGCACGCACCAAGGGAACTACGAATATCTCGTGATGCCTTTCGGGTTGTGCAATGCACCGTCGACCTTTCAGTTTGCCGTGAACTCGATTTTTAAGAGGTACCTACGTAAGTTTGTATTAGTATTCTTCGATGATATTTTGGTATACTCGAAAACATGGGCAGATCATCTCGAGCACTTGCGAGTTGTTTTGGGGATTTTGGAGGCTAACTCATTCTACATCAAACCGTCCAAGTGCTCGTTTGCTCAAGAGGTGGTCGAGTACCTTGGGCACTTTATTTCTCATGAGGGCGTTAAGGTGGATCCAAGGAAAATCGAGGCAATGGTGGGATGGCCGAAACCCACGAGCTTGACGCAGTTGCGAGGGTTCCTTGGTCTTACGGGCTATTATCGCAAATTCGTGAAGGACTATGGAACCATCGCGAAGCCACTCACCGAGATGACGAAGAAGGGGGCGTTCAAGTGGACAGAGGCGAGCGAGAGGGATTTCGAGGAGCTGAAGGAGGCCATGACGACCATGCCCGTACTCGCAATGCCGAGGTTTGATGTGTTGTTCGAGATTCACTCGGATGCGAGCGATATTGGGATCGGGGCTGTTTTGGTGCAGGAAGGACGACCCTTGGCCTATCTCAGCAAGGCACTCGGGCCAGCGCGCTTAGGGTTGTCCGCGTACGTAAAGAAAATGCTGGCCGTGGTCGAGGCCGTGCGCGTGTGGAGGCCGTATTTGCTTGGGCGACACTTTCGGATTGTCACGGACCAGCAGCCGCTCAAGCACTTGCTCGAACAAAGGATCGTGACGCCTGAGCAGCAGAAGTTCGTGTCCAAATTGATGGGGTTCGACTTCGAGATAGTGTATCGACCTGGTCGCCAGAACACCGTAGCCGATGCATTGTCTCGCCGGGAAGACGTGGCCGAGCTCGACGCGGGAACGGGGCCAACGTGGGTCGTTTGGGCCGAGCTTCGAAAGGCACAAGACGAGGATGCGCATTGTCGGGATGTGATCGAGAAGCTGAACGTGGGACACGACGAGGACGAGGACCATGACATGCACGATGGCTTGCTCCTTTATCATGGGCGAGTCATCGTGCCCAAGGCTGGATCGTTGCGCGAGGAAATCATCCGGCACTTCCACGACTCGAAGTTTGGAGGACACTCTGGGGTGTTCCGGACATGGATGAGGATTGCGAGCACTTTTAATTGGCCAGGGCTAAGGGGCGATGTGCGCGACTACGTTGGGCGATGTGATGAGTGCTAACGCACTAAGGCGGACGCGCGTCGACCAGGCGGGCTGCTCCAACCCTTGCCGGTCCCCACACGTATTTGGGAGGACATCACCATGGATTTTATCGAGGGGTTGCCACTCTCGAATGGGTTTAATGGAGTCATGGTGGTAGTCGACCGTCTTACCAAGTATGCACATTTTGTTCCACTTACTCATCCATACACGGCTAAGTCTATAGCAAAATTATTTGTCGAATACGTGATGAAATTGCATGGGGTGCCGCGGTCATCTATTTCCGACCGAGATCGGATATTTATGAGTAGTTTCTGGTCGGAGTTCTTTAAGTTGCAGGGAACCGAGCTAAGCATGAGCTCAGCTTACCATCCACAAACCGACGGACAAACAGAGGTGACCAATCGCACGCTCGAGCAGTACCTTAGGTGCTATGTGCATCAATTTCCAAAGCGATGGGAGAATTATTTACCTTGGGCCGAGTATTGGTATAACACCACTTACCATAGCTCGACTAAGGCAACGCCATTCGAGTTGGTGTATGGGCGCAAACCACCGACGATCGTGAGTTACTCGATGGGGAGCGCTGTGAACGATGAGGTCGATCGAGAGTTGGTCGAGCGCGACTTAATGTTGCGCGAGCTGAAGCGGACGTTGGAAGGCTCGATCAATAGGATGAAGGCGTACCATGATGGCAAGAGGCGTGACGTGGAGTTCGAGCCCGGGGATTGGGTGTATTTGAAGTTAGGGCCGTTTCGGCAAAGGACGGCAGCGCAAAGGGCTGTGACCAAACTCGGAGTTCGATATTACGGGCCTTATAAAATTTTGGCCAAGGTTGGGAAGGTTGCTTATCGACTTGAGTTGCCGGACGATTCCCATATTCATCCGGTCATACACGTCTCACAACTCAAGCAACGGCTCGGTGAAGCACATGTGGCAAAAGATCGACTACCCGCGGTCGCGCCGGACGGGCAGGTTATGGTGCGGCCAAGCCGTGCGATGGAGTATCGGCAAGTCAAAAAGGCTGGAAAATATTTCTGGGAAGTGCTAGTCGAATGGGAGGATTTACCGAGCGAGGAAGCAACGTGGCAAAGTTGGGACGAGATGCGCGAGATGTTTCCCGATTTCTTCCTTGAGGACAAGGAAGCACTTGAAGGGGACGGGAATTATGAGAACACGGCAAGGAGATTAAAGAATGCTGCGAGCCGCGCTTATCATGCACGACGGAGGTTAAGCCGACGGGTTGCCCAGGCCCAACTCATTAGCGGACATGCGCGCGCGGACGGTGACGCACGCGAGAATCTCGACCAAGGGTGCAATAGCGCGGGTGTGGGCGGGAGGTTCACGCGCGAGCAGGCCTAACCACGCAAGGAGTAGACGAAGCGGGCGCGCGAGGGCAGCACGCGCGCAATGTCGGCTTGAATCGCAAGCAAGAGATATTCTAGATATTTATTTCATTGTTTTCTAATTTGTTTAGGATACCTAATATTTTATTGCTTTATTAGAGTTATAGTTATATTAGGACTAGATCTAGTTGATGCCTATATAAAGGCCCTTCCTTGTTATTTTTCGGCATTCAGAAATCAATACAAAAATCCGAACTTTTGTTCAAACTCTTTGCTCTAGTTTTCTTCTTGAATTCTTTTGCAATTATAATCATTAGAAAGGCTGCGAGTGTGCGACTTCCTAACACTTATCGAGCGATTTAAGGCGCGGGGGCGGCTTGTCGACAATCGAGACACACGGTCTTCATCACGCGGGCACAGCGCTGGGCAGCAGCGCGCGCGCAGCACGCGTGATGAGGATCGTGTGTTTCGACTGTCGATAAGCCGCGAACCCGCGCCTTGAATCGCCGATAGTGTTTCTCAAGCCACAACCGCGCCTATTGAAACGATAAAATTGC